AAGAGATGTTCATGTAAATTATAAATGTGTTTGTTTTAGTCCATAAACGCTTCTTTTCCTTTTTTTGTTGGTTCAGAAGAAGCATTTTTCCAAATAAACCAAAGGTCCAAAATTAATTTTTTAAGAGCTATGCTTTGTTGCTTAGCATCTATTAGGCATACACCGCCTTTTTTTTTAATATTTCCATTTCTATATCGTCAAACTGGATAAAAACTACAGAAAATCTACTGCAAGTAATGATGACCATTTGTAAATTTTGGTTAGATTGTGTTTATGGAAAATAAATAGTAACAAAGTAAAGTTGGTCTAATCCATAATATATTAATTAATAAGAAATAAACAATTTGATGATAACTATTCAGGGTGATTCAAATTCGAGGGCCACCATGGGGATTTCGTTTCGTATTTAATGCTTAACAAAATGCAGTTTTGAAACTGAAGAAATTCCAACTACTTTCGGAGATATGCAGAAAAAGCCGAAACTTTGCAAAATCGTTTTTATTTATTAATGAAGGTTACTGATATTTCGAAATAAATGATACATTATTATGGCCACTTTTGTCCTTCTAGAAGATGCCACTTTTAAATTTTAAGTTTGACGTTTCGTCTCCAGTCAACCATCAACTTTGTTTTTTCTTATGGAACTCATTTTTACTTTTACATAAATGACACATACTTAATAGAGAATTTTTTTTCTGATTTCAAAAATGTAAACATCGCTATTTTTTAACAAGAAATAGCGCTATTAATTCGTAAAAACGCTAAAAACTACGTACGTACACTACCCAAGACAAAGTTTTCTAGGCAAAAAAGAAAATATTTTAATAATTTAAAAAACATGTGATGTTTATATTTTTGAACCCTCTTTTGAATTCTCAATCAAATGACCGAAAAAGTAAAAATTACTTCCATAAGAAAAAACAAAGTTGATGATGGTCAACCGGAGACGAAACGTCGGATTTAAAATTTGAAACTAGCATCTTGTACAGGGAAAAAAAGTGGTCATAATAATGTGTTATTTATTTCGAAATATCTTTTTTTAATAACTTCAGTAAAAAAGAAAAACGATTTTGCAAAATTTCGGTGTTTTCCGGATACCTTCGAAAGTAGTCGAAATTGTTTAAGTTTCAAAACTGCATTTTGTTAGGCATCAAAATACGCAACTTTGCCAAATTTAAACAGTTCTCTAGATCCCCATGGTGGCCCTCGAATTTGAATCAGCCTGTATAAATACAAATAAAAACAAATGTCAGCGTATTATATACTTTTGAAATCAGAAAGAAAAGATATATTCAATTTTTGAATAATATAGAAGGCGTTCTATAAAAAATTTACCAAATTTGTTTTGTCCGTCCGTCCGTCTGTCCGGATCCACTTCTGCCGTTTCGAACTACTTCTAGGGGAATGCTCCTAGAGTCCTGGAATTTTTTGCAGTAGGTAGTCTATACCTTGAAGGTGTGCCAGACAGCCATTCGATTTCGCCGCCTAAAAGGGGCGCCCCCCCACGAATTATTTCCTGAGATGCTGTTTGAAAGTAAAACGTGCATAACTTTTACATACGACAAACAATTGGTCTCAGATTTTGCATACGCATGGCTTTAGTGGTGTCAAGTTAAACTTTAGAAAATGGGGGGGGGGATTTCATGGTATTCTAATGAAACGTCTCATCGAAATAAATTGGTTTGTACAATCTATCTTTCCCGTTCGAGGTGAGTGAGCGACGGGGCCTGAGAGGGGGGAGTTAAAAATTAATTTTACGTATTCTAATTAAAGGTCTCAACAAAAGGAACCATTTTCTACCAACTACTGCCCTTTCTTTCTGTCCTGTCCTGTGCACAATTTATACTTGTTTACTAACTTGGCGATATTCATTTGATTTTTTATTTTACATTGTCTGGTAATTTATGACAAACTCCACACCTTTTCTTTCTTATAGTAGTAATAGTAGCTCAAAATTGCATTAAATTTGATGAGTAAGCTTAAAAACAAAACTGTAAAATAATTAGTCTTTTTCGCGCAACTTTTAACCATAACGCCATAACGTTAGGCCCATTTCTTGTCAAAATGTCAATATTCAACCATAGACGCTTCTCTGTGAATTGAATACAAATCAAAGATAGTTTTTCTTTGCCATAACACTTTTATTACGTATATTAAAACAAATGCGCGCCAGAATAACTAGAAGTATAATTTAAACCTTCTTTAAGAATTAATTTTCAAAAAAATTAAAGTTATGTTATGTTTTGTGCGAATTTGTATTTATTTTTACTTTTGCCTTTATTATGTAATGTTTTATAAAACAAGAGATCCGTAAGTATTACCAGAATATCAATGACTTAATAAATGACTATTATATAAATTAATAAATATATAAGTGCTAAGTATACTCTCTTTGTGCAAATGAAATAGCCAGCAAGTAATAAGAATTCAATGTCGTCAAATATTTCCAAAATGGAAGCTTCCACCATAACAAGCCATGGTAATCGTATTTCCGGAAAAATGAAATACAAAACTCGTCTGTAAAATGACACTACTTGACTCGGAAATTAAAGTACTCGGCCCCAAAGGGGTCTCGGACTTCAATATTTTCTCGACAGAAATGTGTCATTTTCCCATTCCGCCTTTTCGACCTCAACAAGCTTAAATGGCTGTAATACGAGTCACACGACTTTATTGTCTTCCAAACAAAAATTGTTTGATCTATTCATAGAACACGAAATATGCAGTAGCAAACAGATTCCTTTTAGAAACCAGAAATTGCCTGAAGGTAAATTTCCGGCTGATCTACGAACAGGGCATATGAAGTACAGACATCGTTTTCATTCCTTTAAAAAGTTCAACTGAGGTTTTTTTTGGAAATTCCAAAAAGCAATTTTTGAATTTAGACTCATGCCTCTTGACATTTATTTATTTCAAGTGCGCCATCTTCACGTGGAGCATTTTCTGTCAGCAACCAAAACCAGTGTTAACAAAGTTGCTGCATTTTTTTAAAATGCTTAACAAGTTTGTATACAGGGCGGTCCATATGTATGGAAAAAATTCATCTTGGCAGGAGTCGACTTCTTCGAAAGCTTTAAATTATAATGGGGATCGTGCGGGACTTTGTTTGAAGGGGATTTTAATTCTTTGTTTAGCAATATACGGCTTTTTAATTTAGAGCTCACTCTCAAAAAATTAATTTCAAAGATGTGTTGAACTACGTAGAATGAAGCGAATAATTTCACATTTATTATTTGGTATATTTTCAACAATGTACCAAAAATCGGGTCCATTGTGCTCCTCCCATTTCCAAAAAGTCCGCTTCCGAAAAATCGCGCGAGTATAGGAACGGTTTTCACTCGATTCCAAAACTTTTAATATACATTCTCAACAATTCAATTTTCTGAATCGGAATTTCCGAAAACAGCAAAACAACAAAATTTGTACATTCTATTGCATGTATGCAACATTAGACCGTTGTGTAAACTACGTCATGCGGACTTTTTTATTATGATGGAGGATGGATCACCCTGTATAATGTAAATTTCAATTCAAATGGTCTGGTCGCTAATTGGAGATTAAACACAAATTCGATCGTAGTATTCCAATGCGAGGTTAATGCCGTGTATCATAATTATTAGATGTTTACTTTTTTTTAAAATAATTGCCCTGTTATTTTTATTTTTAATTGCAAAGTAAATTGGGTGTTAGAATATTAGGTTTAATCATCTGGAAACAATTGCATTGCGTTCTGTAAAAGTTTCTCTCCGGTCATTGCGATAAGGAGTTCGTTATCGCTGAGTTAAAGCTAATTAAATTGTAGACAAGCAGATGTGCGCGTTAAGTAAACACAGAAACGCAGTTTATTCAAAGACCCGCTGTAATTTTTACAAAGAAGGCGTAGCGAAGGAATAAAAGGGAAGAACGTTTTAAATAAGCGAAGTGGACATTAAACAAGGATTTTTGATGGGCGTATTTTTAGTGTATGGCAGTTAGCCGTAATCGAGTACGTTTTTGAAAGATAGTCAGTCTGGGTAAAGTTTCAATAGAAGAGAGTTAGTTGTGTGCTCTAAGAGATTTTCTTAATGCGTCGTTATAAAAGCGAATGTTATAATTTAAGTTAAGCTCAAGCGTCGTGTTACTTATACCGAGAAGTACTCCGAGTTTGTGTCTATCTATCGGATCGCATCAAGACACTTTTCTTTAATGTTTTACAAGTTACCCGTTTCAGCGAAGTTTTTCCACCATCAAATCGTCTAAAATATTATCTAAGTCAGTGTCGTTGAAATCAAGAATAACGCAAAAATAAACAAAATAAAAAGAAGAGTGTTTTGTGTTAGTGCGTCTGAAAATGCCAGTTGACCGGATTATTAATTGTAAGGTATTTAAAACTTTATCTAAATTTAATTTTTTCCAATCGATCGCTTGTTGCGTGGTATTTGTCCTCTAGCCTCGAGCCTTCTTACAGCCCATCGTATTGCTTTGCCTGAAATAAATTATACAGTGTGTTTATTAAACATATGGCAAAAATTAAAGACGTAATCCCTTGGTCTATACTAAGCATATTTTATCTTTTGATAATTTTTGAAAGAGTGCTTTGTTGCAAAGATTCGAGCCAAACATTTTTCAACAATAATAACAAATAATAATAAAAATGACATGTATCATTTCTTAATCTACAACATTGTTTGAAATGACTATCATCAGCTAAGATGCATCCGGACGGTTCCAAAAACACCAGGATCGTTTCTTACTGGGTTATATCAGCTTATCGGGATTTAAAAATGTTAAGAATTTAGGGAATATTTGTGTACGTTGAAAATTTTGAGAACCCCGATTGAAAATTAATAAAAAATCTTCAGTTGTTGCCAAGGGCACCGCGCCCAGTCTTTTCTTATCGGGATTAAATTACACGATTGTACTTGAACGTCTAATAGAAATTTATTCCGGTTCTAATCTCTATCTCCTAAGCCTTATATAACGTCCACACCTTTATCTAACAAGCACAGTGTCATCTGCAACAATGTATCGAGCTGAACTATTTCAAAAATCGAGCGTAATCGCCCAAAGGGATGCGCAACAAGTTATGGATCGAGTTCGCGAAATGGTGAAGTGGAAGGACAACTGCAACGTGCTGGATATCGGTTGCGGAACGGGAAATGTCACCCACGATTTTCTCTTGCCAATCTTGCCCAAGTCGACAAAGGTCGTCATTGGTGTAGATAAATTCGCAGGAACCGTCGAGTACGCCAGACAGCACTACGGGCGAAGGATTGTTTTTGAACAGATGGACATTGTCTATGATACTATCACTAATGGAGAATACTACGACCATATTTTTTCCTTTTACTGTCTTCCGTTCATTAAAGAGCAAGAGTAAGTAAGAGAATGGGCGGAATTAGATTGCGATAATTTTTGTAGCATTGCGCTGAAGAATATTTACAAGCTCCTGAAACCTGGCGGCGATTTCATCTTTACTTGTACCGTACAGTGTAATTTGTTCGAAGTAGGCAACGCGATGTCTCGTGTTGAGAAATGGAATCAGTACTTGGTAGACTACGAAAACTTCGTATGCCCATTCCAATTTTCCTCCAATCCAAAGGAGGAACTTGAAAAGTATTTGCTGAACGCTGGTTTTAATGTCGCGCACTTGACCATTGAGGCGAAGGAAATGATGTTACCTTTCCAACTATTTCCAGGTGAGATACCGGCATGGAGATCCACATGGTATCGTTCTTATTTTTAGAGTACATCATTTCGCATGCGCCTATGGAACTGCCCATAGAATTTGGAGTAGCCTCCTTGGACGTTATAAGAGAACTAAAGTCAGATTACATTAATAACGATACTGGGGAATTCTTCCATGTTAAATATCAAATGATCTTCGGGCATGCAGTAAAACCATGATAGCTGAAATGTCGTCGTGTCAAAAAGCTTCGATTATAAAAAGACAGTTATTCTTCATTTCACCTTCAATTTATTATTTTATTAGCCATATTCTAGATCGTTTATTTCTGTATCAACTTAATCTCGACCTTAACCAAAAAAAGGTGGTATGAAATTTAGTTCCTCCCCACGAAATCAAAGTGTTTTGACGTTTTTCCGACGAAATTTGTAAATCGATAAAGATTTTGTTTTATCAACTTAATCTCGACCATAAGAGCCAGTCACGCCCTCTCCCTAAATCCCATCCACCTACCTTCTGGTATTATTTTGCAAATACACCATCGAATCAAATCGTTTTTCCAACGAAATTTGTAAGTAAATGGAGCTTAACGTATAGAAAAGTACCTAAAAGTACGTAAAGTAAAGATATTGCAAAATATTATAAAGCTGAGAAATATGGGAGAAGAGAAGGTATTCATAAATAACGACCTAACAAGAAAAGAAAGAGTACATAGACAAGCAAATCAGGAAAAGAGCGGAAGAAGAAAGAAAACTATGAAAAACTGTCAAAAAATATCTATGAAATTTAGAGAAAAAATTGAAAACAAGTTAAAAAGTAATCGTAAACGATTTACATAAAGCGCATTTCCACCTGCATTCATTTCCCATTTGTAAGATGCAACTTCTGTTAAAATCGTAAAAATCCGGCCACAAATATGAAAGATAGCGTTGCACATGGACAATCCATTTTTGACGTGCTACTTCAATTTCAGTTTATGAGAAGAATTTCATTTCAATGCTTTTCTAAATAAGAAAGTTGGAACTGCGCATGCGCAAACCTAAATTTTAAAACTAATGTTAGATTTTCCTTTGTTCCAAGTGCCTAAGTATCAAATTTCACTTAAATGGTACCATAGATAAAAAGTTGGCACTGCGCATGCGCAAAGCCAAATTTTGAAGCTGGCGTTTGATTTTCCTTTATCCCAAGTGCCTATGTATCAAATTTCATTCAAATACTTTTATAAGTAAAAAAGTTTGCAATTCGGTTTATAAATGGTCGAGATGCGAAAAGGCACTGTGAATTTTGAATCGATTCGATTCAACTTTTGGCATTGCGTATTATACGGCTAAAGCTATGCCCATATTGAATTTCATGCAATTCAGTTCATAACTAACGGAGATGTAAAAGCGATCGAACATTTCTAAACAAAGTTATCGTTCACACGGACAGATAGATGGACAGACAGACAAAGGAACAGACGGAGAGACCAACCGGCAGGCGACAGATAGCAATGCAAAATTATAAACGATCTCTAGGATCGTTAATAAACGGCAAAAGTGTAAAATTATGGAACATGTAAAAAACGGTTTTTTTGTTTTTTTACAATAACTTTTTTTGTAAGCGGTACAGAAAAAATTCCTTCCTTGGTACAAGACTCGACACCATAACGAACCAAATAGCGAAAAAAGTAGAACAATAGCTCTTAAGATAAAGAACTAGTAGCGTCGCAAAACGAGCGGATGGACGGACGGACGGACGGACGGACAAAGTGGCCACAATAGCGCGTTTTTTTTTTATTTTTGTGGAAATGCGCTAAAAAGGCAGAGAAAGGTTCAGAACAATGGGAAACAATGAATTTGGAACAAAAGTGTGCAAAATTAATTAGAAGGAATAAAGGGGTTATAACGATAATATTTCAAATAAGCGAAGGTTTAAGGCAAGGAGGGATACTGAGTCCAACACTGTTTCTACTAACAATGGACGATATCATTAAAGCAACAGCAACCAGGACCAAAATGTGCCTTGGCGGACGGCGGCGTAATGATTTGTGCAGCAAATGAGAAGGACCGACAAGATAACCTACAGATATGGGAAGAAGAATTAAACAAAAACATGAAAATAAACACGAATAAAACAAAAGGTAATGGTGATAAGTAAGAAGAACAAGAACATTGACATAGTAATAGATCAAAGCAAGATAGAAGATAGTCCAAACGTTCATGTATTTAGGTGTATTGATAGACAGAGAGGGAAATATGGAAATGGAAATCAACGAGAAAATTGTGAGAATTATGTGTCAATTTGAATCCCAATTCGAAATCCGGGTAGAATTTTATTTTATCCGAATGTTATTTCCGATTTTATTCCAACTTTGAGTAGTCATTTCATTGCAATCGGCTTTTTCAAGTTTGTAAGAGTTTTAATTAAACGAATGTTAGGATTGCATTGTTGTGTCGGAACCCAGTCGCGCCCTTAGAAAATTAAAAAAAGAAAACTATAGTCCGTTTCAGATGTCCGTGCAGTAAAGGAATGCGCCTGCGGCTATTTTCCAGTAGCGCACCATTTCAACATACTTTAGGGTTTCAGCTAGGATCTAATACGTTTCTATTAATATGATATCTATATACATTTTAATGTTTAATGATTATACATGGTAATTACACTTGGTTTAATTGCATATATTTTTGGAACGCATTCTTAATAATTTGTACTTAATGTGCATGAGCAATTGTTTTACCCATTTGCACGCCCATGAACATTTTAAACGTGTAAATAAAACCATTATAAGCTCATTAACTATTGTCTCTAGGCCATCCTTTCAAATCCCTATTGCTATGGAGCGTACTTTTCCTATTTGTCCGCTTTTAAATACTGGTTTTCAAAAGGAAATTGCGTTGCGGCTTTTTAAAATTTTTCGCTATATGCACATTCCTTTACTGCACGGACATCTGAAACGGACTTTAGGGAGGTAGGTGTCTGTTGAGTAGTGTAGTGACCAGTATACCATTGTACCCAGCAGTAATTTTTTAGGATACCCTCAATAAATCCAGTTAAAAAATAAAAACATTAAAAAATCAAAGAGACATTTTGTCCGTTTACTCAGTTTTTCATTCATAACTTTTGTTAATAACATTTTTACATATCTCGTCCTCAAAGATCACTTTACTGTTATGCAGAAAATATCAGAAATTAGTTTCCAGCCAAGCAGGGCTGCTCCCAACACCTACAGTAAAGATGGGTCACCCTGTATGATCCATTTCAATTATTTTTACCGTTAAATGTTGGTTGTTGTTTGCGATTGAACACAATGTTGATCATATCATTTGAATTCGAGATCAATGAGGTTATATATCAGAATTATTTGATGTTTAAATTTTGTTTAAATAATCGATTAATGCTTTTAAATTAAAAAATTATTAATCAGAGAGCGAAATTTAACATAATTTAACATAATTTTATTATTGTTTTGTTTTTTTGTTTTTGTTTGTCTTTCCTTTGTTTGTAGGTAGTTACTTAGTAGATTTGTGCTTGTTTTCAATCAAAATTGAACTGCTAATTGTTTTATTTCGTACAATTTATGTGTATAAATATATTCTTTATGTGTCTAGGGGTACAGGGGGAAGAACAGGTAACCTACTGGTTTATCTGACCCTGAACCTATTGGTTATGGTGTAGGAACCATTTTTTTTCCTAATCAATAAAATCCAGTATTATTATTATTATTATTTGTACTTGTAAATTTAAATGACGTGTTTAAAAGATAGGGGACATTTGGAAATAATTGTTTTGTGTTATTATTGATTCGATAAGAAGTTTCGGTATCGCTGCGTAAAATCTAATTAATTTGAGATAAGCAGATGTTTTTTCGCCGAAAGAATTCAGTGGAAGACGCAGTTGGAAATGACAAAATGTTTTAAATAGCAGAAGAAGACATAGATTCGGGCTTTTTGTTTGGTGGGCGTTGTTTGGGTTTAGCAATCTGGCGTTATCAAAGTTTTTTTGCGAAGACAGTCAGTCGTGTTTAATTGCAAAGTTTTGTAGAAGAAAGTTAGATAGTGCGATAAGAGATTTAACTAATACGTCGTTGAAGTGAACGTTATATGTCGAGTTAAGCGGAAGCGTGTTTTACGTTTACTAAGAAGTTAGTCGGAGTGTTGTGTTTATGGGGCAGTTATCGCATATGAGACAGAAACAGTTTAAGGTAATTAAGATAGTTCAATCGATCGCTTGTCCGTGGCATTTGTCCTCTGGCCCTGAGTGCATATTTTTTTTTCAGTCTTTTTGATTGATTTATGTCGAATGAATTTATCTCATCTGTACTAGTTTTGTGATTAATCGAGCCCAAATTAGAAATTAGAACCTAGATAAGAGTTCACATGTCAAATTATTTGCTTGTGTCGTTATAGCCTTCGGAAATACTGATCCTTATTCTATATGCTTGTTTTGTACAGGGTCATAAACAGTATCGTAATAATGAGGATAATAAATGAGATTAACTTGAGCTTCATAAACTACAATTAAAACCATTGAGAGAACAATTTCATATGTTTGCTGTGTTGTTAACATACTAATCGCTGGCTCATTAATTTTAAAGCCCAATACTCGTTTTCAAAGAATTCACCACTTATAAGAATGAGAAGGAGTAATAAATTATATTTGCTATAAATAATATAGGATCTTTGCAGGACGCTGGAAATATACTGCGTGCAGGTAAGTCGCAGGTTTCCGTCAACATGATTTACTGCCCCATTCTGGAATACAATGGAGCGTATGAATAATTGTTGAACCTGATCTAACTGCGAGTTACTCACAATTCAGATGAAGCTAAATTTTAATAGATTCCCTGCGTTGAATCGGTTTGAAATAATAATATAGCTTGATGTCGAGCATCAATTTCGCCAATTTGAAGCCAGTTTAATTGGATTCGCGATTCATGCGAACTTATTTCTACTAAACCTTGCATTCATCACGAAGATAACGTTACCAAAGTGGTGAAAAAAGTCTACTGTACTATCGAAACGAGTTGTTTCCATTTTTCTAAACAGCGCAGCGCAGCATTTTCCAAGAAGAGATAAGATCAATTTATTACCGGAAGGGAATATTACTCACATCAATGACTGTAAATTATTTTAAACCTTTTGATTTGTTTAAAGTAATGGTCGTTTATTTTTAGGAATTTGCATGTTAATTTTGTTTAAAACAGATTTAATATTCCTAAAGGAGTCGACCAGCGAGAATTGTTTACATGAAACAGATTTTGTATTGTACTTAATGCTAAAAGCGGATCCAAACATAGAATTGGATTGTTTTGTTTCATTGATTGGAAAATTTGTATTTCATTTCATTTGGTTGAATTCAAATCAAAGTATGTGGAAAGTACAAATATCTCGTAGTTGAAAGAGGGGAGAGAAAAAATAAGATAGAAAATAGGACGAGAGCAAAGAGCAATAATAAGACTAATTGGAGGAATGAAATGAGAATTCATTCATTACGAAGATAACGTTACCAAAGTGGTGAAAAAAGTCTACTGTACTATCGAAACTATTTGTTTCCATTTTTCTAAACAGCGCAGCATTTTCCAAGGAGAGATAAGATCAATGTTACCGGAAGGGACTATTACTCACGTCAATGACTGTAAATTATTTTAAATCTTTTGATTTGTTTAAAGTAGTGGTCGTTCATTTTTAAGAATTTGCAT